CAAAAACATTGATTTTTTTTCTCTGTGGTTATACGACGCTGAGCGCACGCTGATGCTCCTGCAGTACAGGTACAGATAATTGCACCGTGCTTTGCTGCAGCAGTGACTCCCGGCCATGAGCGCCGTACAGCCTTACATCACCTATGGAAATGCACAAACTCACCTACCTGCTCACCAGTTTTTCACATTTCAAAGACAAGGTTTTCCTTCCTCCAACCAAATAAATCAGCACCACTACTGCCACCAAACAAGCTCCTTGTGCTTCACGAGCAATGCACACAGAGAAATCCAACATCTACTTCTGAAGCCAACCTTCCCAAACACGAGATTTGGTTGCGGGCAGCATTTCATTACGTGGTTGTGTTATGAGCATATTTTGTGGCTCTGATATCTAAGATTCACTGCCGCCAGTATTGATGCCCTTGTTCATAAGCTCTGTTGCACTCGACACGGTGAGCGAGCCTTGAAGCATCTCCCATTGCTGAACTCTGGCGTCCACCTGGGCGGAGGGAAAACCAGAAGTGGGGTTGTGAAATGACTGCCAGCGATTGTCCTGCAGGTCAGTGGCTGAGTGAGAATCAGGCCACTCTCAGCCCACCCCGGCGGTTAATGTCTGTGTGATGTTGGAGACGCCGGTTGTCCTCTGGCACCAAATTTACACCCCAGCCTCCAGCAGTGCCCGGAGAGTCTGTCAATCATTTGCCACAAGGAATGCCACACGTGTCAGCCCTTCTGCACCAGTCAGTGCCGCTGGGCGCTGCGGGGCTCCTCTGGGTGCTGCCTCTGCCCTCGGCAAGCCCGGCTCTGCCGCTCCTCGCTGCTCTGTTTCATGTGACGGGGTGCAGACAGCCAGAGTGCTGAAAGCCGTTAGCGAGGTGGTAACTGCGATAATTCATTAAGTGGATAAGGCTAGAAATTAATTAGTGAATCACAGGTCTCTGACGGATGCAGAAAAACAGGCAAACAGCGCCTGTTGCCTTGGCAGAGTCGATTTCAGCCCTCGTACCAAATTCCCTGTCAGCCAAGGCTCGGGGTTTGCGTGAGGGTTTCGGGGCGGCTGCGGCAAAGCACTTGGGGTGAGGCAAAAAGCGGCCGCTGGGACAGAGCGGAGGGACGGAGCTGCAGGGCAGGGAGCTGGGAAGAGAAGCGAGCAGGGCGACGGGGCTCAGTGCTGTCAGCAGCGTGCCGTGGCCGGGAAGCAAAGGAGGGATCCCGGGAAGCCGCGGCCGTGCCCTGGGACGCGCGGCATCCCGCCCGCTGCTCCAGCGGGGCCCCCACGCGCAGAAGATGCTTTGCGACCCGCTCCACACGGCAGAGCGGGTGGCGGTTAGCAGGGCTCCCGGCTCCCAAACTCCGTCCTCCCTCCAGGGCCGGGCCGTTGCGGGGCGAGGCCGGCCAAGCCCTGCCCTGCGCTCCCCGGGGCCGGGCGAGGCCAAGCCGGGGCTGAGGAGGGCCGGGCCGGGCCGCGCACCGCCCCCGCCGGAGCTGCGTACGGAGCGGAGCGGGAAGGCGGCCCGGCCCCCCCGGTTCTGCCGTCGCCGCACTCATGGCCACCGCCGCACTGCTCGCAGCTCTGCCCCGCCGAGGGCTGCTCCGCCTGAGCGCGCGGTACGGACGGGGCCGGGGGGCTGCAGGGGCCGGGAGCAAAGTGACGGGGGATCGAGGGGACGGGGCACCGCGGGGCAGCGTGTTGTTGGGGCAAGAGGGCAGCTGTGCAGGGCTGAAGGGGGCAGAGGGATGGGGGTGTTGAGCCAGGCGGTGGCTGCGGTGCAGAGGGGCCGGGTTCGGCTCAGGGGTGCTGGAGGTGCGTCGCCGTACTTTGGCTCCCCGGTACCCCCCTGAAGCAGCGGCAGCAGCAGACAGGCGACCTCCCCCAGGGGAGGGACAGCGGAGGAACGCGTGCGCCCGGGGCTGAACTTTCTTTGTGCGGCGGCTCCATCCGACTGCTGTAACGAGCAACATACAGACGAGCTTCTTTCTCCTCCCCGCTCGGCGCTCCGGCTCGCGGCCGTGCCCGTCGGTGTCCCTGTGCCACTGTTGTTCTTACGGCCGTGCAGAGGCTGCTGGGTCTGCAGCAGCGCGGGGCCGGCAGGTCCGCGGCTCCGAGGAGCTCTGCAGCTGGCCGGTTCTCGCTTTTGTTCGAGCTGCCTTTTGGAGCAAACTCCTGAGAAAAACGGGAAAGCAATTGGCTTTGGGAGATGCTTGGAAGAATTAGCTGGAATTCGGACACTAATCCTACCCGGGTGACTTCCGGGAAGTAGCTCGGCAGGGTTCACAGTCGGAGTGCAGGTAATGCTTTTCAGCTGGGCTCTGATGGGGAGACACCATCTCAACATCTGCTCTTAAGAAACAGGACGGGAGGGAAGCGACACAGAACGTTTATTGCATTTTGGACGCAGCCCAGCATTCCGTGTGAAGCTGGGTGGCAGAACAGTGACTCACAAAGCCTATTTAAAAAATATAAACTCCTTCTAGTAACATGAAAACTTACTAAGTTCTGCTCCTAATTGCACAGCGCTTGTCCTTTGGGCAGAACGAGTGCAGAGGGAAAGGCACACGGGACACCACTGCCAGGCTGCTGGAATTGAAACCTGAGGGAAAACTCTGGAGATCACCATTGCTCTAACTAAAGTAAACAAACAAAAAGTAATCAGAAGGTGATTAACTCTGCAGCCAGCAGGGTTGTGTTGACGAGCAAGGAGGTAAAGACGGTGCAGAGCCGTGCTAGCTCACCACTCTTTCCTTGCAGTTGTTTTACATAAAAGACCCCAAACTTGTTGCTTTGGGGAGGTGATCGTTATGGATTTCCATGATTGAGAAGCTGGATGTGGAGTCCTTGAGCTTCCCCAAATCTGAGCTCCGTAGCTGGGATCAGTTCTGACCCCGTGAGGACGGGGAGCAGCAGCAGTCAGCCAGCAGCCCGCACTGCTGCAGGGCAGCTCTGCCACTGCAGGGGATGAGGGGTCACACCTCCCTTCTCAGGGTAATTTCTGCAGAGATGGAAAAAGAAACCGGTTATCTTGTGTCAGCAGCTGTAAAACGTTGGTCAGGTTAATCACACACAGCTCCTGGGGTTGATTGAGGCTGCTTTATAAGGTTTGATGGGCGCTTTATGGGCTGGCTACGATCCATCTGCCGACCTTGCATCCACAGGAGATGAGGAGGAAGCTCTTTCCCCCACGCCCCAGCGTTTCTCTGTGCAGTTTTGCTGCTGAGGTCGCTGCCATGCAGGAGCAGCATGGTGGTGAGGCTGGCTCGTTTGCAGGCACTGCTGGCTGCTTTGCTGCCGGAATGCATTGCTAAAAGAAGACGTGTGCTCTCAAAGTTCATTGGTGAAACCCAAGAGGAGTTTTGTTTGCCTTCTGCCAGCTGAGGCAGGGAAAGGAGAGCTGCCACCAGATCAAATCCTGATTTGTTTTACCTCCAGCTGTGCCACAGGAGGAGGTGGAGGGTGAATTATTTGTCTTCTACAGCAAACACTGAAGAAAATACATAAATCCCTCGGACCCATTCTGTTTAAACATTCTCTCTCTTCAAAAGCCCTTTGCAATCACGCTCCTGCTGGCTGTTGGCTCTGGGCAGGAGGAGGCAGGCTCTGTCAGCATGGTGCTGCTGATCCTTCCACGTGATGCATCTGCCTTGTTCCTTCTGTTCTAGGCTCCCTGTGCTTCCAGAGTGCTGTTTTACTTTGGCCCACACCTTTTGCTTTTTGCTATGGCCAAGAAATAAGTGGTCCAGGAGTGCCAAAGCATTTCCAGAGATCAGATTTGAATTCGAGGAGCTCGAACCAGATGAAAGCTGTGAGTTTTGCTCCCTTGGTGTTTCTGAAGAGAAGCATTTTGAGACCAGTTGGTGATTCTGGGCTATGAGTGTGAGCTGTTTCAGACCCGGATTTCAAGGCTGCAGGTGTTTTTGGTGCAGGGTGGGGGCCTGGGAGGCAGCTGTGTGTGCTTCCACACTGCGAGGGCATCGCCACTGGAGCACTTCAGAGCACAGAGTTCTGTAAAGAAATACTTTGCAGTTCTTTGACATTCTTTCATCCCCACGTTTGGGATGGAGGGAGATGGAGCCGTGAAAACTGGAGGAAGGAGGAGCTGTCGTTTTGCTCGGGCTTTGTGTGTTAAGGAGTGAGGATCAGGCCCACAGCCTTTCTGCACGGGGGAATTTCTGGGCACCACGTGAGGAACTTTCAGTGTTCTCAGATTGAAAACAAACCCTCGTGCCTGGGCCATGGGGCTCTGCCCCTGTGAGACCCTTTGCCCCCTCAGCCGGGGAGGAACTGGGGGTGTGAGCTGAGGTTCTGCTCTGCCTGCTGTGTCGCCCCTTTGCTGGCAGCGGTGCAGGGCTGTGCGAGCAGCTCAGAGGACGTCAAAGGAGACTGCAGAAAGCATAACGATCAGACTCTATGGGCTGCGGGGTCTGGATTTCAATTGAACGTTCCCTTCCTTCTTCTTTCTGCTTCTTGTTTTGCCAGCCCCGTGCTGCGGGAACACGCGAGACCAAATGTGTTTTTTGACCAGTTGTAACGTTTCCCTTGGGTCGAGTCCCCAGAGGAGCGCAGTCGATGAAAGCCTTCCGCTGCCCCCAGCACAGCACAGCGCCTGCTGGGCTCCGGTGAGCCGGGGTGCACGAGGTGAAAGTGCTGTTGCACAAGAGGTGGCTCTGCTCGCTGACCCCGGCTCACTTTGCCCGGCCGTCCGAGGGAGCTCAGCGCCGAGCGGCGCCTGTTCCCCGTGCAGCCGGTGGGGAAATGTGGGGCGTCACCATAGAGATGGGCTCTGCTTCCACTGGAACTGGAGGTGATTTGGCTGCAGAGATGTGAGTGCTGCGGCCTCCACTGATCGCTGCGAACAGCTTGTGGCTTCCTGCTGCGGCAGCGTGAGGTACGGGAGGGGCTTTCCTAAAGCTGCCCTGCAGCAATGTGACGATGGCTCAGAATGGCGGGAGCTGCCGTGCTTTTTATTGCCTGCCTAAAAGCACTCTTCTGTGGATTAGGGAGAGCTTTTTCAGCTCTTATCAAAGGCTTTTCTTCTGCGGAGCTTCCTTTCATCTCCTGGTCTTTATGCGTGTCCACCCCAGGAGCTTTGAAACAAAAGATAATTCTCCTTACTGCTCGTTCGGTTACATCCTCCCGCCTCCTCCTGGGGCAGCCCCTGCAGCCGCGGTGTGAGCTGCTGTGCAGAGCTGTGAGAAGGGAAAGCCTGACCCGAGCGGAGCTGCCGTTGCTGACGAGGAGTGAGGGAAGAGGGTCGGGCTGTGCTGCTCTGCTCCCAAAGGCAGCGGCTCGACTTGTGCCAGGCAGGGGGCAGAGCCCCGTCTTGCAGAGGAAGTAACGCCGTGCTGATGTTGTTCCTCACGGGCAGGAAAGCAGGTTCTCAGCAATTAGCACAAAGGCTTTGCAGAGCGTTGATCCCGTAATGAATGGGTAAAATTTGATTTCAGGGTCATCTGTTGTTTTTTTTTCCTCTGCCCCATATCTGTGAACAAAGGGCAGTGCCTCAGAGCCACGCACCCTGCAAGTGCTGCTTAACCCTGTCCGTCCTAGGAATATCCCAGGACAGGAGTGGAGGAAAGAAGTGAGAAGTGAGGAGAGAGGAACGAGGAGGTGGGAGAGCTGGTGGGGCTGCATCCTGCCTGGCAGGCAGCTGCTGGGCAGAGAAAGGCACCGAGCAGGGGGGAGGAGAACAGCAGCGCTGTTCCTTTACAGCTGATCCTTTACAGCTGTGGTTTCAGAGGAAGTTGCCGCTTTTCTGCTGAGGGAAGCAGCTGACCATCGGGGAAAGCCTTAGTGATTTTGAAATGCTTTTCACTAGTGCTCTGCCCACAGCTTCTTGCTACTTCCCGTTTCCTCTCCAGTTGGGCCTCCGGTATCATTTCTGTGCTCCTCAGGTACTGTGTGCCACCATTTCTGCCAAGGCCCTTCTCTGCTGAAACGCCTCCCAGGTTGTCCTCTGTGCTGACGTCTGTTTGTTGTGTATCCTCTCCCCTGGCAGCCCGCTTTGCAGGCCCTGCAGCCCCCTCCCCTCACTGCTCTGGTAGCTCCTGGTTTTATTGCTGCCATCTCCAGGACTGCAAACTCTGTGGTTTTGCTCCCGGAGGCAGTAAAGGCCGCGCAGCCCACTTAGTGCTGCACACACAGATCATTGCTCTGCTCGCAGCTCTCGGTTAAAGCTCAACTCCTTTGATCTCTTCTAAGTAGTTTTTATTCTGTGAGACAAGATTGCCTTGTTCTCCGCAGATCTTTTTAGAACAGGTTAAAATGACGCAGACTGAGTTTTGTTTAACTTTCTCAGCCATCTCCTCTTCCCAGCAGAAGGAAGCCATTGCAATGAACATCCCTGCAAAACGTTTTCACTGTTTCCCTTCCGCCTCATTTGCACTTTTTAATGTTACCATCTCTCAATAAACTGCCAAGTCCACAATCTCTCCAGATACTTAGAAATGTTTGGAGTGGTTCTCACACCAGGTGAATGAGAGCAGCACAGGGGGCACCGGGCAGCGCGTGTTCCTGGGGCTGCTGTGGGCTCCTGCCCTGTGGGTGAGCGGTTTTGTTTCGGCCCTGTGCTGTGCTTGCTCTGCCAGCTGATGTGGGCATCTCCAGGTGGGGCAGCTGCTTTTCAGTGCTTTTGGAGGTCCTTTTGATCTTCGGCACCAAAGTGGCTGCCTGTGATTCCCTTTAGTGCACTTAGATCTTGCTGGAGCTCACAATTCAGTTTCTCATCTCTGTTTCTGGAAGAGGGAAATATCTCACAGTGGCCCTGATGTGTGGAGATAACTGAGGACAAGCATGTTTGTGTCCTAGGATGTTGCCTAACATCTTTCAGGGTGCTGTCTGTTCTTTTGAAATGGAAGGAGGACAGTACCAGCTCTGATGTTCATCTATCAGGCCTGGCATCGAACCACCTTCCTCATATTTCTGTGGCATGTCACGAGTGCACCGGTCTTAACTCTGCTGTAGTCCTGTTTCTGCAGGTGTGGTTTGGGTGAGGTGCTCTGCTTGGTGTGAGCATGGGATGTGCTGGGGATGGCCCTTTGTTCTGGGTTGGGTGATGCTGTGATAGCTGACTGCTGTTTGAGCTGATGCAGAGCTAAAGCTCTCTGCTGGCTTCAGTGGGATGCGCTGCTTGCACCTTATGGGAGTGAGCCACTGGGCCTTGGGAAGGAAAAAAACCACTTCCATCTGATTCAGTTCACTATTTTGTAGTCCTCAGTCTGGGTGGAGCTCGGGGCTGACAGCCAAGGCTGGAATAGCACGGCAGAGGTTCAAAGGTGATCCAGAGATTAGCGGGCAAGGCTTGTAACTCTCAGATGGGCACCGCTGGTACATAATTCCAGACTGGGAATTGTAATGACTGCTTGTATTACAAAGACACTTTTTTTGTAACCAGAGCCCTGAGCTGAACCTGGTGGCTTAGGAATTCTTTGTGTCCTCCGTTAGAGCACTAGGAAGTCAGCTGGGTCAGCTGGGAGGCGACCAGCTCAGCGCTGGGATAATGTAGCACAGCTCCTGAAGCGCAGCTGGGTTTGTGAGAGCAGAGAAAACCTGCTGGCGTCTGTCTCACAGCTTCTTTTCCTTCGCAGTGTCCTGCACACGAGGACACTTTCTGCATCCCATAGGGTGACCGACAGCTATGTCCAGGGGACCTTGGACATTCCTCTGATCAACAAAACCGTGGGCCAATGCCTGGATGAGGCAGCGGAGCGGTTTCCCCACCGTGACGCCTTCGTTTTCCACCGAGACGGAGTTCGGAAAACGTTTGCTCAGTTCAAAGGGGAGGTGAGTGCCTGATTCACATCACAGCCCGAGCCGATCCACTGGGACAGCAGCTGGTGTTAATGGAGAAATCCAGCCTGGTTTCACTGGTTAGCTCAGGAGCGAGGGTTGTGCTCTGTGTGGCTCTCTGAGCCCGCAGTGACAGCACTGCCAGAGCGAACATCCGCTGGTGTGTGCTGCCTTTGTCCTTACAGATCAAAGGGAGAAGACAGCATACATGAAATGATTACTTTATATTCCAAAACGAACTTTCCTACTTAATACATCAGGTGGTGGCAATAATTTCTGTGGGCTGAGTCATGATGTTTCCACACCTGGAGCAGGCGTTAGCTCTTGTGTTGGTCACGTTGGTCTGACTTTCAACTTTGTTACCTCCAGTGGTTTTGAACTTCAACCCTGAGCAAGTGCAGAATCCTAAAAACCTGATAGGACGTTTGACAAACACATGCCCTGATCCTGGCCAAGCCAGAGATCTGCTGCTCACCGCACCGTGCTGAGGTCTGGTCTGCACCTATCAGCACCTTCCAGAGGAGGAGGCCTTTGGATCTGATTCACCTCCTCCACCAGGCTCTGCAGCTGATCCAGCCCCCACAGCAGGCACCACTGCCAAACCACTGGGCTGCCCAGACCAGTATCTGTCACCCCTATAGTCAAGAAGCAATGGAAATGGAAGTCATCTTGCTTAGTAAGGAAATGAGCTTGTCCTAAAAGAGGAAATGAAGACGACGAGGATGAGGAAAGCTACTCCGAAGCAGTACCACCATGTGAACAGCCGACCTGGGCTTCCACTCTGTGGAAAGATATCCACTGCCACATAATGTTTATGATCCTCAGGTGCTTGTCTTGCATTTTACAGGTAGACCAAGCAGCAGCTGGACTTCTTGCTCTTGGCCTGAAGAAGGGAGACAGGCTAGGAATGTGGGGTCCCAATAAATATGAGTGGGTTCTCATGCAGTTTGCAACAGCCCAGGCAGGAATCATCCTGGTAAGTGCTGGGGTTTGTATCAGTGCGTTGGGAAAGGAGATGGACACAGCAGTAGCATATGGTGGAGATGAGGTCTGCAGTCTGACTCTCTCTATGCTCGTACCCAGCACGGTGAGCTGCTAACAAATCAGTTTTAGCAAGATCTGAGCAGCGCCCGCATCTTCTGCCGTGCAGGGAGGCAGACGGCGGGGCTGTGAGGAAGGAGTGGAAGGGAACGGCCTGCTGTGAATGGCCTGCAGGAAAGCGATGGATACAAACAAGATTGCCCCTAGGTTGGCTCTTATGGGACGTGCAGTTATCCCAAACAGCTGCCAGTTACTGAGATCCCTCCTAAACATGTCTAAATGGCTTCAAGATACAAATGCTCATTCAAAAACCCAGCCCAAGCTGCATTCCCCTGAAATTCCCCTCAATTTTCACTGATGGTGTGATCTGGTACGTTAACCAAAGTGTGTCCTGTTTATGCAGTGCTCTGTGTAAGGGCTGTAACACATCTAGGATATTTTTTTTCAGCACTGTTCATCCCAGTGTCTGCTAAGGAGCAGAAAGGGTGCATGAGCACGGCTCAGGACAACCATGAGGGTCAGCTCCGCTTCTGCGCTCAGTGCAGCCGCTGTTGAGAGCTGCACAGGGAAATGCTGATATTTTGCTGGTTGTCTGTTCAGAATGCCAAGGTTCCCTTGAGTTTTGAGTACCTCTGGCTTGGATTTAATGCCTGCCAGGGAGAAAGGAGGACTGTTTTTATTCCTAAAGCTGTTGTGACTGACTCATGAACCCTTTCCTTTTCTTTCATGCAAACACAGGGTTCAGATAGCTTTTCTAGGAACGTGAGTTCCTTGTGGTGAGCTCTTAGGTCTGCATCTCAGACAGGAGGGGCTTCGGCTGCCACCTGTCTCTGGGAGAACTTTCTTGGTGGAGTCTGCATTAGGGAAGAGAGTTTCTGGGGTAAGGTTACTCTGATTACCCTTCTTGTTCCTCCTCCTTCAGGTATCTGTGAATCCAGCCTATCAGGCCCGTGAGCTGGAGTTTGTGGTCAGGAAGGTTTGTATGGCACTCGCTGTTAATTCTTCTTGATTTGTTATGAGAAGTCATAAAAGCAGTTTGTTAGAGGGAATAGCAGGGGATGGTACAGAGAGGGGAACTGTTAAACACGTAGGTGTATTAGGAAGAGGCAAGGAGAGCTGGCCAGAGAACAGGGCTGGTGATGGCCATGTGGGAGCAAGGCCACCATGCAGGTTTTTGCATTGTCTGGAAAGAAGTGGGGGATTTCTTGCTGCTAAATGAGATTTTTTTTTCTTGCATCAGCAGTCTGGAATTGGGTTGCTGGGCTGCAGT